AGACTTTCAGTTAGGGATAGATATACTAAAAACTGTTACTGATATACTCTTGCTTTAGAAAACCCAGCATGCTATGTGTCACCAGTGTCATTGATGCAGCCAGTAGTAAACTGTATTTAATTTGTAAAAAACTATATTCAACTAAAACATATTAACCAAAAAAGAACAGGGTAATAAAATCTATGAAGTCGATCAATGGCTTGGATTTACTGATGGAAAATCTAAGCAGGTTTGTTCATTACTTTTTTAAATACACAACTATTGATCTTCCATAGACCCAATTTATGCTTTCACATAAATGTTTTCTTTTTGTGTCAAGCAAATCGATATCAAATATGTAGGGCCTTAAAGAGAAACTCCACTTCAGTTGAAATAAAAACACCTTCTGGGTGATCTATGTACACCACAGGGATTTTAGCAAACTTTATGGCAGATTTCTATCTTTTGTTATTCTGAAGAAATAGCTGTTTGTTGCTCTATGTCCATGTCCAAAATGAGTCCGGTGGGAGTGAATTTATCATTATCAATCATCTGCTGCACTTGCAGGGTTCTAATGAGGAAAGAGGCAGGGTCTGCATCCCTTTTAGACATGATTGCCCTTTGAGAAATTCTCACCAAAATTGACATTTTTTTTGTTGTTGCAAGGGATGCCAAAAATCTGACTTATCGTAGTGCAGACATTTGTGAAATTCAGTAAGCCAATCCCACAAGCAGAACATTAAATATCCATATTGCAAGGCCATATTGCAAGGCATTTTACAGAACACTCCAGAAGCTGCAAACTGAAAAGGAAAAGTCATTTTTAATAACATTCAATTACAATATGACTTGTGCTGCAATTGTATACACTTTTTTTTTTTTCCTATGAAAGTGGAGTTACCCTTTAAAACTGTGTACCCACAAAACCATAAAAACTCATGGAACACAAATTATCAATAGGCAACATTTTATGGGGTCCTGAACAAGGCCATACATTATGTCTTATGATCATACAGAGTAAATAATGCTTGTTATTTTTACACCTGGGAACAGCAGATGTATTATAATTTAGTCCACTGACATGCAGTACAAAATATGCAGTGCACAGCTATACGTGTGTAACCACCGACACTAGCATTTACATACACATTCATATGGAGACATTTTTCAAAACCTAAAATTTTAGCTAAGCTAAATGCAAACTGAGGCATCAATAGCCACCATTCAGAATCCGTATGGTATTGCTTTGACATCAGTGAACAGAATGCTGCTTAGTTTCTGGTTAATGTACTTTCCTTGCACTGTTTATTGGAAATCCCATCTTGAACTGAGACAGAAAACTATACCAGAAAAAAGTGTTAAGAGTGAGAAAAACAGTAACGCCCAATCACTGTTTAGCACTACAGTATATATACAGAAGTAGATTAGGTGGTATAGCGCTAATACCATATGATAATTGACATAAAAAATTAATAAAGGACTCGATATTAAATGGGTGAATACATAAATTATATGAATAAATAAATAGGTGTTCAGTGGTGCACCTAATGTGTATAAAAAAATATGCCGTCAAGAATGTGGCTAAATATAAGTGATATAAGTGAAACAAATATTAACCAAATATAAATACATGTGATCATAAATGAATATTCATAAATCATATAGCACAAAGTCCAAAAAGTATAACTGTGATGAATCAATCTTTGACCGTGAAAATAATACGTGCTCAAGTGCATCAGACCATCTGTCACCGTCTAGTGTGCACACTTACCTCCAATCTTTGACCCTCAAGGAGTCATAAGGCATAACAAATCACCAGTTAGTTCCAGGTGGGATGAATCTCACTCTCTGGATGGACACAGGATCAGCTTCCACACAGTCTACGGTTAATCAATCATTACAATGGTAAGGCACCTTTACAAAACTCCTCCACTATCCCAATGGCTCATAAACAGGGAATCAGTCATGAACTGTATAACCCACAGTCAGGGTGCTTGCATAGGGAGTTCAAAGATGGCTGCCGTCCGTGTGTAATTGCGTCACCACACGTCTAGTCCGACATGTTGCGTCACGATAACACATGACTACAGCGCTGGTGACCACGGATTCCATTTAAATAGAGTCTGCACCTGATCCTAATAAGTTGGGCGGAGCACAGCAGCCATTTTTCTGGAGTCATGCTAAGGATACCAGGCTAATACATATAATACTCAGCAACAAATATGTATTTGGCAGTCTTTATATCTTTGGCAGAGCATGAGTCCACCCCCCTTTATTTAGTACATATACAGAGCCTGCAATGGTAGATATCACAGCCCTACTTCACATTTAAAATCACAAACTATTTTACTTTGTTGCCTATACAGATATAGATGCACCAACCATTTTCATGCATTATACTGTGGTTAATAATTCTGCCAATAGGTGGTAGTGTTCTGCAATATCTAAAACAGACAAAGACAGAGCCAAGGGTTATCTACAAATGGTAATCTGGATTTCAATGAGAATTACTGGGGATGTTAGTATTCTGTTTATAGACATATTATACTATGATTTCTTGTTATGCCACTAGGTGGTAATGTATTACTGTATTGTTCTACCTAGCTGAACTACATAGTTATGATGTAGTTTCCTGTCTCTCTTTCCCTGTATTTTCCCAAAAAATAAGAAGGGCTCAGCCATGTGAATAAGATCATCTGACTGGTAAAAGTCATATCTACAGCACTTTCCAACATAAATTCGTGTGAATCATCCATGGGTGCTTACAGCATTTTGGTTTCCATCTACCATAATAGGGAGATGAGATCTTGTTCTTTGATGGCTTAAACGTTTTTACACCAGAGGAAATCAGAGAGAAAATACATTTTCTCTGGTGCTGTGAGTGAACCAGGCCTTGCTAAGTGAGTGAGTCGAAAGGGTGTTCCTTTTTCCTAGTAAGTATGGAACCAGAACCCATGGCTCCCAGGGCACCCTTCACAACTCAATGTAGGGCTATGTAACCATTTATTTTTGGGAGATGCTACATTTCAATGCACGCACCAACCAGTGCATGAGGGAATGTTGTTTTTTCTATGTTCAAGCATTTCTCTGATCCTTGTATTAGGCTGTTGTAGTTAATGCACTTTTTAAAATAGTAAAGTCACAGCAAAGATCAGCAGCCTGCTTTCTTAACACCAGTGGAATAATATAAAAACTTGTGTGAGAGTCCTTTTAATGTGCATGTAGGTGACCTATACTTTTCAATTCACACTAATACCCTTTGGGGTGACCTATGAAACGTAGGTATCCCTCAGGATCCTTCAGGAACTCCCCAGAAAGACTCCACCACACAATTAGAGCTCATAACATCTTTTAAGTGAGGAATATGTTCCAGGCCTGGCTAATGATCTTTGTACGTACCTGGACCAGCTTACTAGGCCCTGGCCTTGCACATGCTACTTAGATGAAAACAGGAGCATATTTCAGTATTAAGACAGCGGCAGTTTTGGGCAAGAAATCGATTCACTGAAATGCAAGATATTTACTTGTATATTCAAATCTGAAGAGGGAAGTGGTGGATTAGACAGAATAAGATTTTGTTCTTACCATTTATAAAAGACTAGAGACATTAACTAAATAAAAAGAATTGTTTTGTTCTATTTAAAAAGGAACCATGAACTCTGGCACAAACAACAGGGTACAAGCAATTAGTCTTTTTTGTCTTCAACACCCTAGGCTTTTATAATGAAGAGATTAATATAATATATTATGAGTCTTTATCCCAGATGAAACATGTAGGATAATACTTTAGTAAATTAGAGCCATGTACATGAAAAGAATCTCAAATATGAAGAAACACTATGTTCTATTAACTCATTTCCAATAAAAATTTACCCTTTTCTTTCTTTTGATTAGCATGATATTGGGCTCCAAACCAAATAATGGTAAAACTACTTGTTCAGTTCATAATTTGCTTTATGTTATTTTATCATTTCAACTGAGATTATACTTTCAAAGTGCCCCATTGCTGTAATAAAAATGGCCGCCTGATAGTTATAAATAATTCATAAACTCACAGTATTGATTTTTCTAAAGCACTTAAAGGAAATATTACACTTGTGAATACTAGTCATAATGTGATCAATATAATCATGTAGAATTACAGTAGCTTTAAATTCATTTTAGATGGAACTTTAATGATTATTAGGCCAAAAAGCAAGCAAAGATATTAAGAATAATGAGCTTCAGGGCAATGGGTTTTCTAGGCATTGATATAACATAAATGGCCTCAAACAGGGAAGATTTTATACTAGTATAGCTAAGATTTCAACCTGTATACTGTATGTATTTTTTCACTGCTGCCTGTAAAATGATGTCTTTTTATAGCATTGCAATTACATGCCATAGTTATGGTCCTTGGGTTCTTGGGAAAAGATGCAAGGTTAGATTCAAATGTAAGTGCTGTATACTTCATGTTTAAAATTAAAATAATCTAGTTATTTATTTTGGATTAGTATACTGAGGTCCAAACTCACTTTTGCGAGTTACAATTTTTCACTAATTGTCCAGTAACTAAAACACTAAGTTGAAAATAAATTAGTTCAATGCAATTTAACCTCTTCAAGATCTGATTGTTTCACCCCCTTCCTGCCCAGGCCAGATTTCAGCACTGTCACACTTTGAGTTACTAATACTTCATTTGGACATACATTATCAAAATTCATCAGCAGGAACTGGACATATTTGATCCATGTATGGATACTGTGGTTGTGCAGAAGTCAATCTACTGATCAACTTCTGTAAAGCCTCCCTGTTGGATATTCCCCACTCGATCAACCCTGCAGGCTATAGCCTGCAACACTGATCAGTGTTTTCTGATAGCAGGGAAGTCTCCCCACTGTCAGAATATTATAGCCCAGTGGGGAGAATTACCCCATCCACAACTGAATAGCTGGGAAGGGGGAATCAAGTCAGTTTTTTGTTCAATCAGCTGGTTGAATGAAAACAAATGACTCATCTATGGGCTACGACAACAGAAGTAGACAGTTGTCGACTTCTGCGGGCTGTGCGCTTCAGCATGCGCTGACTCTGCTTTGTCATTTTACATGGCCTATCACTTGGTGGCTGAGTTGCTGTTGTTCCCAGTTGCTTCTACTTTGGTATAATACTACTAACAGTTGACCACGGAATATTTAGTAGCAAGAAAATTTCATGGCTGGAGTTATTGCACATGTGGTAACCTATCACAATACTACGCTTGAATTCACTGAGCTCCTGAGAGCGACCCATTCTTTCACAAATGTTTGTAGAAGCAGTCTGCATGACTAGGTACTTGATTTTATACACCTGTGGCCATAGAGGTGATTGGAACAACTGAATCCAATGATTTAGAGGGGTGTCCCAATATTTTTGGCAACATAGCGTATATATATATAATTTATTTATTTATTACGTGTACTTATATAGCGCTGCCAATTTACACAGCACTTTACATAAATATTGTACATTCACATCAGTCCCATAACCCTCAAGGGGTGTACCATCTAAGCTCCCTAACACACATTCATACCTACACATACTAGGGCCAATTTAGACAGAATCCAATTAACCTAGTGGCATGTTTTTGGAGTGTAGGAGGAAACCGGAATACCCAGAGGAAACACCCCGCAGGCACAGGGAGAACATGCAAATATATATATATATATATATATATATATATATTATATATATATATATCTAGTATATACAGTATTTGAAAATTGATTAGTCTTGATGTACTGACTCCCTATCCCCTCTTTTGAGGCTCTAAAAAGCCAGGACATTAAAAATACCCCAAAATTACCCCTTTTTGGAAAGTAGGTAGTCCAAGCTTTTTAGTAAGAGGTAAAGGGTTATGGTGCCATTTTTCTACTTTTTTGTGGAAAATGAAGAAATTGAATAAAATGTGTTTTTTTCATAGAGTTGCCATTCCCCACACACAGCATAGGCATACTTACAATTACACTCCAAAACACATTCTGCTATACCTCTACCTGAGGATACCATAAGTGTGATACTTTTTTTTACAGTCTATCTAAATAGAGGAGTCCAAAATACAGAGTGGGCTTTCAAGGACTATAAATTATACATATCATTAACTGACTACCTACTTTTTTGGAGTCCTTGAAGTACCAGGACAGGAGAAATACCTATAAATTACCAACTTTTGAAAAGCATACATCCAAGGTATTTTCTAAAAGGTATAGTGAATATTTTGAAAAAAGTTGTCAATTAATAAGATTGTTTTAACACACAGCATGTACATACTTATATTTACACCGCAAAACACATTCTAGAACTTACATACCACATGTGTGAGACTTTTTCACAGCCTAGCCATATAGAGGGGTTTAAAATCCAAGGAGCACTTTCAGGTGTTCTATGGGTGTGAAGCGTCTGTGGTAGTGAGCCCAGGTACACTGCCAACTCAGGGTTCCCCAGGGCATGGAGTCTAAGCCCCAGCCTGCTTATTCACCAAGGGCCCGATGGTGGGGATGGACTTGCAGCAAGCTGGGACCAGGTGGCCCCCAGGTACACCTAGCTGAGGATGAGGAAACCACTTGCATGAGCAGAGTTCATCAGCAGGAGATAATAGGAAATCCAGTAGACAAGCTGAGGTCAGGACAGGTGGAAAACAAGCACAGACGGTAGACGGAGCCCTGATCAGTACATGGGTAATCAAACACAGGATACAGAAGTAGCAACAAACGGGAGCTCAGAGAACTATGAAGTTGCTCAGGCAATATGGCTAGACTGAGCATGTCTTATATAGGCAAGCATACTAGGAGGCTGACCAGGAAATGATGGAAGGGAAGGAAATACAGACCACAGAATAGCAGGCAATGCCCTTAGGTGAGCAAGTAAAACCACACATGTGAAAGTAATCAGGGAAGGAAAAGCACCGAAGTAAGGAGGTAAGAATACAGAAGCAAGAAGCTGCAGGCTAACTTGTGACAAGGGGCATAAATTACACATCTAATTTCCTGACTACCTGTGAGATGCTTGGAGGTCCTGGAGCACCAGGACAGTAGAAACACCCACAAAATGACAACATTTTGGAAATGAAACACCCCAAAGTATCTTTTAAGTGGGATGGTAAGTCTTTTGAAGACTTAATTATTTTGCCACAATTTTTCAGAATGTGGAATATAAATGAAAATGTATTTTTTACACCAATATGTCAATTAATAAGATATTTCTAACACACAACATGGACATACAGTACTTAGAATTACACCCCAAAACACATTCTACTACTTCTCCCAAGTGTGGGGATACCACATTTGTGAGACCTTTTCACAGCCTAGCCATATAGAAGGGCTCAAAATCCAAGAAGCACCTTCATCTGTTCTATGGCATAAATTACACATCTGATTTCCTGACTACCTGTCACACATTGTACAGTTTATAGGTTACATTAAAGGTGGAAAAAGTTGTGAAAATGATTTATCCTTGTCTCATGTTTTTTATATCACAGAAACCTGACATGTTAACAGGGGTGTGTAGACTTTTTATATCATATATATAAATACAGTGTGTGTGTATATATATATATCCCCCACTGTCATCCTCATCTTTATCCCTATTGGTACCCCCCCCGCAGGCATCTTACTACCCCATCCCTTCTTATCATAATCCTTAACTTCATCCCTCTTGGTACCCCACTGCCGGCTTCCTACCCCTCCACCCCCATCATTATCTTCATCCTTCCTGGTAGCCAGCTGCAGGCATCTTATCACCCCACCACCTGTCATCATTTTCATCTTCATCCCTCCTGGTACTCCGCTGCAGGCACCCTACCGCCCCACCCCCTCTCATCATCATCTTCATCTTTATCTCACCTGGTGCACTGCTGCTGGCACCCTACCTCTCCACCCCCTGTCCTCATCATCCTCAGCTTCATGTGGGTCTCTTGCTCTCTCTCTCTCCCCCCCTCTCTCTCTCTCTCCCTCGCCTCTCCGCATTTCTTGTTTTTTTCCATGTGGGCAGGTCCATGGAAATGGCACTGGGACTATCAGCACTGTCTGGGGGGAGGTTAGGGATCATGCAGGATCTCTGACAGAGAGCACACATCAGAGGAGAATGCAAACTCCTCCTACATGCTGCAGAAGCGATCAGGCAGACACTGGAAAAAGTCACATGACTGCTACATAACACTGCTGAAAAAAGGGTTTTAAAGATGCTTATTTTATAATATATTAGCCTTGCCATATTCAATATACTAGGGGAGATCAGATATAGTAAATTCAGGTTGCTTGGTTTATTATCACTTTAAGAGGGATGGTGAGTCTTTTAAAGACATCTTGGAAAATGTGGAATATACTGTAAATTAAATTGTATTTTTTTACACAAAGTTGTCAATTAATAAGATATTTCTTATACACAGCATTGGCATACTTAAAAATTACACCCCAAAACACATTCTGCTACTCCACTCAAGTATGGAGATACCACATTTGTGAGACTTTACAGTTCACCACATAGAGAAGCCCAAAATCCAAGGCCTAATTATCTTTAAACGGTAGGAAAACCCAAAAAATTACCATATTTTGGAGTGAAAACACCCAAAGGTGTTTTTTTAAATACATTTTTTACACAAGTGTTAGTTTAACAAGGCATGTGTGAGACTTTCAATGTTTGGACTGATTATGCACCAGACATTGTATCTTAAGTATCACAAAAATAAACCAATTGTATCAAACACACTGTGTACTGCGGTGGTAGCCTCTGTACTAGTGGTCAAGCAATATAGCTTAGTGTAATATCACCTATAGCGGTCCCTGTTTCTATAAGACAAGGAAGTTTAGCCTACTGGTATGTGACTGCCCCCAGGATTGCCATGTTTGCTGGCCAGGAAGTAAAGGAGGTTAACCACTTGCCAACCGTGCTATAGCCAAATTACGGCTACAGTGCGGTTGTCCAGTTCTGGGAGGGCGTCATATGATGTCTGGAGGAAAAGAAATTTAATTTCCAAACACGGAAAGGTGTCTTCACAGTGAGAGCTGTGAAAATGTGGAATAGACTTCCTCAAGAGTTGGTTCTGGCCAGCTCAGTGGATTGCTTCAAAAAAGGCCTGGATTCTTTCTTAGATACACAGAATATAACTGGATACTAACATTTATAGGTAAAGTTGATCCAGGGGATATCCAATTGCCTATCGAGGGATTAGGAAAGAATTTTTTTCCCTGCAGGAGCAATTTGGATCATGCTTTGCTGGGGTTTTTTTTTTGCCTTCCTCTGGATCAACTGTGGGTATAGGATTATAACCTTTTTTTTCTATGGTTGAACTGGATGGACTTTTGTCTTTTTTCAGCCAGACTAACTATGTAACTATGTAATAACTTGAAGGACTTCGGTGCTTCTTTTTTGATCTTTTGATGATGAATTTCCCCATAGTACCTGCAGCTACGTGGGTTAGCAAAGACTAATTTTAAAGCTCATTTGCAGTTTTTATTCTCATTTATTTGAAGTGGCGTATAATAAACCTCCATAAGTGCTACACCACATACCAATATATCATATCACATCTAGTCTTAAACATAATTTCCCAAATGGACATGCTCCTCCGTTTTTGACTTTGTAATTCCCTTGTAAATATACTGAAGCTTTCCAAATTCAATATATAGTCATGACTTTCCTCAATCTAAGGTTCACTCCTTTATTCCTTCAAATCATATTTTTTTGTTATCCATTCATATTTCTCTTTTTATTTCCCATAAAATCTGATTACCAAGCTTAATGTTTTTGTGCAAATCGTACCTCATTCACCTTAGCTTTAACCAAATCTCATTCATTTATTATAATTATTACACATGCAATTTTTTTATTGCTGAATCAGTTTCGTTTTAAGCATAGTTTCTATGTACAGGTTAACATGACATTATAAAGGATTCTAACAGTATTTTTTTCTTTGCATGATTTAGAATCTAAAACACAACACACCCAAATGTGCAAAAAGCAACATCAACTTCCAGAAGTGATATTCATGAATTCATGGTTATAAAAGAAACATAATTTTAAACATAGCTATCTCTTTTTATTAACTCTTTAACTCAAATGAATGTTTGAGAACATCATTTAATAATGCCATCTGGGTATTCCTTCTCCTACCATAGGCTCTAAATCTTGAGAATGTATTACTAGATAACCATTTTATAGGTAGAGGGGAAGAACAGTGTTATATTATCAGAAAGTGCTTCAATAAAACGTATCATTAAAATTAGTGTTAGTTAATTAATAAAAAGCAGACAGGCATCTATTACTACCCCATTCTTTCCAAAATATATATTCTAGATGGATCTGAGCTATAAAAGAATTATCAACACTTTGCCTGTTCCTTTGTTTACTTAAAATAGGA